AAAGGCTTTTCTATGTGATGGCAGTTGCTTTCAAGGTGCTCTTAGATTCGTCCTAGTGGAAAGAGGAGGGTTGACCACAGTGCATCAATAGGAACAAAACAAAGTATTAAAAATCAAAATCTCGTTTGTGGCTGGTGGAATTAAACTGTAATTGCATCTCTAATTAGTGTCTTTCCATGTTTAGCTCAGTCAAAGCTGAGCTCTCAAACAGGACACTCCTGTGTCTGTCTTCTGTTAAACAGTGGTTGTTAAGCAGAGCTTTGTCATACTTACTAAAATTAAGTAAATGCACCCTATTTAAAGCTTTGTATAAGATACGTTTTGCCACTTAAATGCAACTTCTGGTGTTTTGTAACTGCTAAATGGCCATGACTTGGGCCCAACACACCAGAAGTTGCATTTAACTGCTAAATGGCCATGACTTGGGCCCTTCTTGTTGCTCTTCTAGCTGGTGGGCTCCGCACGAGCGAAAACTCTGCAGAGGAGGAAATACCAACGCACACCAACTTGCTGGGTCTGTTTGCACAGAAAACAAGGCCGATACGGGCCTGTAGGTGACACGGTGACAGCGAGCACAAAGCCAAGCTGCTCAGGGGTTCTTTGGCTTTGCTGTGGAGGTCTTCAGGGCCAGTGTCTCCTTGGGCCTTGGCAGCAGGATTCATGCAAGGAGGAGGGAAACTATGAGTGAGTGGAAAGGAGTGAGTCAGGGACCACTTGAGAAAACGCCCGTCTTTGACTTGAATGTGGTGCCCAGCGTCAGCAAGAACGAGGTGAATGACGTGGGGAGCTACCAGGCAGGCAGGGTGGCTTTGCTCTCGGGGAAGGGCTTGGAGCAAGTTCTTGTGGAAGCCCAGGGCTACTGGGCAGAGCCAGCATGGATTTAGCGGGGGTGAACAGTGCTCGATCATCTCAACTGTGATCTCTGCTGAAGTTGCAAGGTCCCTGGGTGAGGAAGGAGCCTGGTCAGGGCGTCGGTGCCTCCAGCGCTGCAAAACGGGTCTTTCACAGCCCCCCTGGGTCCCTGTGGTCACTAGGGCTGTGCCCAAGGAGCAACTCCTGGTCCAGTTTCCTTCAGCATCCTTGTCAGTGACCTGGGGATGGGGCAGAGGGCACCCATAGCAGCTTTGCAGGTGGTGGCCCTTAGAAGATCGTAGCCAGGAAGGCCAATGGGATCCTGGGGTGCATTAAGGAGAGCGTCTCCAGCAGGTCGAGGGAGGGGATCCTGCCCCTCTACTCAGCCCTGGTGAGGCCACATCTGGAGTATTGTGTCCAGTTCTGGGCTCCACAGGACAAGAGGGATGTGGAGCTGCTGGAGAGAGTCCAGCGCAGGGCCACAAGGATGATCAGGGGCCTGGAACATCTGCCCTGTGAGGAGAGGCTGAGGGAGCTGGGCCTGTTCAGCCTGGAGAAGAGAAGGCTGAGAGGGGACCTAATCAG